ACATTCAATAATACCTTTGTCCGATCAGGTCAATATCACAATTAAATCAACGTGTACCAATTATTCTAATGAGATAAAATGTTTAGTCATAAAACAAATTACAGAAAGAATTCCTTCCTGTTCCTTTGATAAAGCAGATTTAAATTTACCAGATAGCATTAAATTAGCAGACGATAAATTCAATGAAAGTAATACAATAGATATTTTATTGGGAGCATCCGTCTTTTGGGACATCTTGATAAATAAACAAATTACATTAGGGGGCGGTAGGCCTGTACTGCAAGATACAAAGTTTGGCTGGATAGTCGGTGGTAATATGCAATTCAAATACGATAAAGTTAATGTCAATTCTTCTCCAATGTCCATTACTTGTACTAGCATTGAAAATAAATTAGATGATATGTTGATAAACTTTTGGAGAATTGAAGATGTCACTAGTAACAATAATAGTATGTCCATTGCTGAAAAATATTGTGAAGATCATTTTTTGGAAACCTATAAACGTGATGTGTCGGGTAAATTCGTCGTAAGCATTCCATTTACAGAAAATTTACACTTACTAGGTGACTCTAAACAAATTGCATTGAATAGATTTTTATCATTAGAAAAGAAATTACGATACCAGCCACAATTAAAAACGGAATACGTTAAATTTATGCAAGACTATATTAATTTAGGGCATATGTCGGAATCGGATAGTAATACAATTTCAAATACGCCTGAATATTATTTACCACATCACGCTGTAATAAAGAACACTAGCATTACAACAAAAGTTCGCGTGGTTTTTGACGCATCCCAAAAAACAAGTTCAGGTTATTCATTAAATGACGTGCAATATCCAGGCCCTAATTTGCAAAACGATTTAACGTCCATTTTAATTCGTTTTAGACAATATCAATTTGTACTTGCTGCGGACATTTCTAAGATGTATCGCAATATTTTAATAAATACAGATCAAAGACGTTTCCAGAAAATTTGGTGGAGATCAAATCCTGATGAACCATTGAGATGTTACAATTTAAATACCGTTACGTATGGAACGTCATCTGCTCCATTCTTAGCGATGCGTTCATTACAACAAATAGCCATTGACAAGAAAGACAATTATCCAACAATTAGCAATATTATACGACACGATTTCTACATGGATGATTTATTAACAGGTGCTGATAATTTAAACGACTTAATTCAAATTCAAAACGATATTTTTACAATTACGTCAGAGTACGGTTTCGAGCTACGACAATGGCTATCGAACAATCAGGATAACTATCAACAATTCAAAGTCAATGATAAGTTAGAAGCTAATATTTTACAATTAGGTGAAGGCGAAAGTAGCAAGACGCTGGGCATGCTTTGGAATGCTCATAGCGATAGTTTTCAATTACTGAACATTTTAACAAGCGAATTACAAAACGAGCTATTTTATCCATAACTTGCCAAATCTTTGATCCGATGGGATTGTTAGGACCCGTTATAATAATAAATAAAATAATATTGCAAAAGTTGTGGACCTTAAAACTGGGGTGGGACGAAGAAGTACCAAGTTCAATAGCGACTAAATGGATTAAATTGAAATACCAATTTCCGATTCTAAATACATTAAACATTCCAAGACTTGTTATAGCACCCAATTCTATTTCTATTGAATTACACGGCTTTGCAGATGCCTCAGAGCAAGCATATGGTGCGTGCATTTATGTTAGAAGTTTACAGGAGGGAGATATATACCATTGCAATATACTGTGCGGAAAGTCAAGAGTTGCACCAATAAAACAAATTTCACTACCTCGATTAGAACTATGTGCGGCTGTTCTATTGACGAAACTGATGATAAAAGTACGTACTTCACTTCGAATTACAATTTCAAAAATATTCTATTATACCGACAGTTCGATTGTGTTAGGATGGTTAAACGGTTCTCCTAGTAGATGGAAGACCTTTGTGGGCAATCGTGTAAGCGAAATTCAAAATAATTCAAATGCAGGTGATTGGTACCATGTAAGATCTGCCGACAATCCTGCAGATCTTCTTTCGCGAGGAATATTTCCAAATAATCTAATGAATGCTAGTATTTGGTGGCACGGTCCAGCCTTTTTAATATCTTCTCAAAATATCCAAGACACAAGAAGCAACAATTTAGAGATTTCTTTACCCGAACAACCCCATGTTAGTTGCGTAACATTAGTCGAAGATGAATTCGATATATTTTCAAAATATTCGGTTTTAATTAAATTACAACGTGTGATCGCGTACTGCTACAGGTTCTGGCATAACTCACAGTACGTATCTAATAAAACATTAGGTCCTTTAACAGTTCGAGATTTAGAATTAGCATTACTTAAACTAACTGTGCTATGTCAAAAACAATCTTTTAAGCAAGATTACATTAGCTTATCGCAAAACAAGCCTTTAAGCAGAAAAAGTAGTTTACTTTCATTAAACCCGTTCCTTGACTCCGAAGGGCTCATTCGAGTCGGCGGTAGACTTCAAAATTCACAATTAGATACTAATCAAAAACATCCAATAGTTCTACCAAAAGCTCATAAGCTAACAAGGTTGATAATGGAAAAGGAGCACAAGCAGCTATTGCATTGTGGAGCACAACAACTTTTATTTGCAGTTAGGCAAAATTACTGGCCAATATTGGGTAGAAACTTAGCAAAAAAGGTGTCTCGTGAATGTGTGATTTGTTTTAATCACAATCCTAAACCATGTCAAACTATAATGGGTAATTTACCGGATACTAGAGTCAGACAATTTGCGCCGTTTTACAATACAGGCGTGGACTATGCAGGTCCTTTTCAAATGAAAGATAAAAAAACCAGAGGTTGCAAAATAGTGAAATGTTATATTTGTATATTTGTTTGTCTTTGCACAAAAGCAATACACCTTGATGTCGTGTCGGATCTCTCTAGCGAAACCTTCCTAAATTGCTTGAAAAGGTTTATTTCGCGCAGAGGAAAACCTTTAAATATGTTCTCGGATAACGGGACAAATTTCGTAGGTGCGAATAAAATTTTAAAAGAGTTTTTACAATCAATCTCAACATCAATCATTAATACAATGGCTAATGAATCAATCAATTGGCATTTTATTCCACCGCGCTCCCCTCATTTTGGCGGTCTGTGGGAGGCGGGAGTAAAAAGCATGAAGTACCATTTAAGACACATTCTAGGGGAAACGTTGCTAATACACGAACAATTTTACACCGTTTTGACAAAAATAGAGGCAATTTTAAATTCACGCCCATTAGGTCCCTTATCCAGCGATCCCAATGATCCTACACCTTTGACACCTAGCCATTTCCTTATTGGAAGGACAATGTATTGCAATCAACGGACTCAACCAGTATCAGTTCCTCCAATCGCTGACTCAACATTTTTGGCAACGTTGGCATAAAGAGTACCTTAACCAACTACAAACACGAAAGAAGTGGAAGACAAAAAATGAAGAGGTCAAGATAGGTGATCTCGTCATCGTCAGGGGCGAAAACTCTTATTCGTTCCAATGGCCTCTCGCACGAGTAGTGGATCTCCATAAAGGAAGTGATGGAGTTGTAAGAGTGGTTTCAGTGAAATTACACAACAATGTGGTGAAACGTGCAATCACAAAAATTAGTGTTTTACCATTGTAAATAGTATCTATATTTAGGAAAAATCAATGTATCTAATCTATATCTTATTATTATCTTTGTTTTGAACATTACTTAGTTAGTTCAAGGGCGGCGGCATGTTGCTGCATATTGTAAACCCGCCCATTTTTAAACCAGTTTTTGTACCTGGATATTAGGGTTGAGGCGCTACGCGCGTCGGACCTCATAGAGACGACAATTAAACGTTAAAGCAACAAGTTCGTGTTTCATTATTGTTCACATGTGAGATTACAGTTCAAGTTTCCTATCTCATTAACATCACCTTTGGAATTTTTGTTTACATGGAAAATCGTACTTAACTTGAACTTCAAAGGCGACTCGACAGCAACTCATTTTTAATCGCCCGTTATATAATTTTAAGACTATTGGCCTTGCTAATAAAAATTGTCGACTTGAAAATAAAAAAAAAAACTTGTCTAGATCTCAGGCTATTTACATGCATAATTCACAACGGTATTGCATCAGAACATCTCAATAGATAAAATTTAAAATATATGTTAAAAGACTAACAAATTTAAACGATTATTCCAACCCTTTAATTCCTCTTCAGCTCCTTTTTAAAATTTTTAAACTCAACTGCCTATCGATTTTGAGGGTATAATCCAATTAGAAATTTCGTAATTATTTACGAAACGAAGACGCCCCAGTTACCTAATTAATTATAAAACGTTCAATAAATTTTAATTAAAGATGTACATTCAGCGTTGAAAAATCGAATCCACCTATTGGAATGAATGGCTTTGATTCTATTCAAAGTAGGAATCGAAGAGTGATTCCGCTCTAGAATCCCATTACGCGAATCTAATCAAGCAAACCGATTGCTTCTATCAATTTCAAACAATAAACAAGTACGAATGGCAAACGCGAATGTAAGGGTGGAGAAATGCTGGTATGTAGAGTCGATAGCATCTCGACCTCGTGCAAATATATTAAAAAGAGTCATTAGTTAGGAGATCGATATAAAAATTGAGTTGTACGCGACTGATTGAAAATTCGAGATTTATTCAATGTACTAAATTAGTTTCGGTTGACATTCAAAAGTTTACAAGTAGCAACTGGAAGTGTATTTCAATCAGTGAGGCAATCTATAGAACTCTCCTTCGGCTGCAATAGAAACGCATTACAATTTTTCATTATTAGGTAGAAAACGATTGAGTGGAAATTCGCATTGAAATTTTCTAGGCAATCATTTTCATGGGAACACACGTAGGGAATGTATACTGGTTCCATTGCTGCTATGCTCTTTTTGGAGCAATGCTAATTTGAACAATTAGATTTTTTGTTGCATTGTGTTTCTTCATAGTAGCTTGCTAACAATCATCTTGTTCAATTTCAGCATGGGTACTTGGATGGTGGATGTGTAAAACAGTTCCGTACATACAGGGTGTCTCAGTTGCTGCATCTGTATACAGCTTAATTGCGGTATCTCTAGACAGGTGAGTTTTCTTGCATTAAAGTTTATTGTAAGCACATACATACATTTAAGTATAGGCTGAACCACCACTACACAAAGAAGTGATTGTGAACTTTGAGAACGCACAAAATGTAGGTACAAGAATTTCAAACTAGCTATAACCTTTTATTTAAAATAGATACCCTTACAGTGCCCTTTACAGAAATACGCGTTAGATGGCTAGCATCAGTATTGCTGCTAAAGTAATTTTGTTGCTTATGTAGTAGTGAATTTAAGATTAAGACGACAGAAGCATCTCAAAAGTGGGAAGTAATTATTCTCAAAATTCTATAGTAATCTGTTTTGTCCGGTCGAGTGATCAACGTTATAAATCAACGGTACCTAGAGACATTCCAGTTGATTTGTATTCCAGTTTGAAATATGTTTAGTTACATAACAATCTAGCTAGCGCTGCCACATTGAAATACGAATAAAATTAGTGCGCAAGGAAAATAAATCACCAAACCATTTGGAGCCAAAAATCTGTAGGAAAATGCGTTCCTATCTGGATATTAAGCTATAGCCATTATGTTTGCCACCTTTATTGTTCCCCGGCGCGGCGGTGCAATTAACAACGTGTAATCAACTAATTATCAATTAATTTTATGTTGTAGGTACTCAATTTATCATACAATTTCCTTTATATTGTGATGTACCCAAGTCGACAGCTTCTGCGCTAACAAGCGCGAAAAAACAAGAACTCGGAACATCACCGTAGGAATACAAACACTCAACCGTGACCGGAACTCCTACGTTACGGAAGACCAGGTTGCACTCACTGGTACCCAAGCTTATTATCGGAAAGGTGGAACATAAATAACACACATTGAATTTGAAAAGCAAAAGAAAGTTTATTGAATAATTGATCAAAAATGTAAAATAAATCAAAAAGCCAAAAGGGTTCCTCCAAATTTAGACAGAATTCATTACAGCCAAAGGTATGTCGTGTTCCCCTATCGAACTCATCGGACAAAAGAACCGCGCTGAAGAAAATTCCGAATCACTGAGGCTATATATAGGGGGAAAATCTAGAGCCAGAGAGTTAACTGCAGAAAACGCTAAACATATTTTACATCACATCTACAATATACAAAAATTAACAATCAGAGGAACTAACTCCCGAGTTTGAATAATTTAAATCTGACGTTAATTTAATACAACATTCGATAAGCAATGGCCATCTCAAGTAGCTTTCAAAGCAAATCCAATCTTTTCCCATTTGTGAAAGATAAGAGATTACATAAAGTACATGATATACATTGCTAATTAGCAGGCCCTCCTCCAGTCCAGAAGATATCTGAAGATCCTGGATACGGTAACCTTAGACTAAATTTGCAAAAAACTGAATGCGCGATCCATTTGCTTTCGATTTGTTGGAGCTGCTATTGCATATAGCAACGCTACTGTAATGTACCCAGGCCAGTCCCGAGAGACTGCGCAACTCAAGATTTAAATTCAAACATTCCCTCCCAAACTAACTGAACCCCATAGCACGTGATCGTCTAGACAAAGCTACCTAACTTGAATAACCGAATAATAGGACCACTTACTACGTTGTGTTTTTAAGAGTCGCTACAAGATATGTGTTGCTTGTCGGAGTGAGGACCAAGTAAGGAATACAAATAAAACAAGTACATGCTTTAAAAACGGAGATTTAATCCAAATAATTTGCATTGCAAGATTAAATTTAGGAAATGGTAGTTTACCGAGTACAAATATAACAATAGGCTGGGAAAAAAAGAACTGACCAAGAAAAAACCCAGCCAAAAAATTAATATTGAACTTTATAGCAAAATTAGTTATCTGTAATGGCATGAATGCATATTATGATGGTTGTCAAGTAAATTAATATAATGTTGAATCACAGGCTCCGCTGGAATTCCTAAAGAATCAATATTTCATACACATAACAAAAAACAATCATTAAAACAGTACAATAAATGCACATAATAAGTTTGGATATTGGATGATCAGTCCAAATCCCACACCGAGTAGTCTTTAGTTGCTCTGGTCATGACATGTCAACATTGTATGAAATCGCTAGGAGTTGGCCTCTCAGAAGAGCATTTCACACAGAAAGGATACCCCAATGGATACAAAAAAAAACAAAGGGCACAACGGGAACACGCCGTGCGCTTTTAGCAGATCCCTGCGCAAGTGAGGCCGGGACTTACCTGCGCCCTCATGTACGACTGATCGGGACCCCAACTCTTTCATTCACACATCTCTAGGGCCAGTCCAACCCTCTAGTTATAAAGTGCCGGGTTATAAATTACCGAACTCCCGGCTCTCTACCATGAGTACTGACAGTAACCAATCAAAAGACAAATCATGACATAACAAAAATAACAGAGCCACCAGCGGCAAACTCGCACGCATACATAATCATAAACCAAGGATGTTATATAATATAAGGATTGCTCGATCCCTATATGTTGCCCGCGTTTAAGTCATATGTGACGTCACCAACGGACCTGGCTGTCAGAATCGACAGTTATAATTTGCTAAATTGTCAACGTTTTTGCATTAGCGTTATAACTGTGTGTATAAGTGTTCGCTATATTGCAACAAAAATGCTTGGACGCCGACGTGCAGTATTGAACTGTAATAAATAGTGACGTCACTACACGCGGCGAAAAAATTCAGCAATTGAGCAATCCTTATATTATATAGCATCGTTGATCATAAACAAAATATATAGAATTTATGTAGGCGTTGGCAGTTGACATATTTGCACTGGCAAACAAAGACTGACACAAAACCAATATTCGGTCACTACATGTCATCAGGGATCGACTCAACGCATTGATTAGCAATATCGGCAAGATGGCTCTTTTCGAAGACACAAAAAAACAGTACATAAAATAAGTATATATCTCTGCGTATGTCAGTTCTGAACTTTAGCCAGCCTCTGCTACGTCAAATCGAGATATTAAATATCGGTACCAAATATCAATATCAAATATAGCACAGTACATATTCGAAACAAGTCACTCCGCCAAATATTAATAATCATACTCACCCGGTTCAAATAAATAGTAGGAGCATAACGATAGCATCACATTACAACAACAACAAAGAAACATGTCGGGGCAAAACATTAACGTAATTAATTCTCAATGCCAAGTGCAATATGTAACAATCAACCACCTAACGTACGTCACTCGCCCCCAGATAAAGCACCCTGTACATAAACAGTAACATATTCATGCCAACAAAAGCGAAAGGTGCTGCAATAAATTCAATTATAAATTAAAATGTAGTTCTGCATACTTGTATTGAATATCGCCCCTAAGGGAACATACAGTATCTAAATATAAATAAAAACACGTAAATCGGTCAGTAATTCATGTAGCCAGCCCTTGGAACAAAGGAGTACTGTAAATTGGAAAACAACATTCGAACACGATCATATTATTATTTATTAGATGGATGCAATAGACGTAGAGAAAAAAACGAGTACATCACCTTTGTAATTGTCGAAGCTGCACTCCACTATTCGAAACGTAAAAATTTACTTCTGCTCTCAACAAAAGCGCAAATACTTCTGCCCAAATCTCCCCTTTTTAAACAAATCCTAGACGAAAATTGTTAATATCGACCTTCGGGTCGATAGGGATCATTAAGTTCCCTCGCATAGCGTTATATTTGACACTTTTATTGTAAATTATGGCCCCTTTCAATGTAGAGCAGAGAAGAAAAAAACACGTGTTGCACGGAAACGAAACAAAGCGCAATCTGGACTTTTTTTCGTCGCGCCAGGGTCGGTTTCGGGAATATTTAAATCGAACTTTAGCGGGCTAATTCGGTTACATCACAACGTCAATAAATGTAATATTCAGGAGTAACAATGTTTTCATTTTTTAGAACCGTTTCAAAACATTTTTTTCATACATTTGATGTAGGTAGGTATATTGTTACCTACTTATCAAAAAACAATTTAATAATATCGATTACACAAAAATTATGTACAATTTGGACGATGTATTAGATAAACATAACGAAGTGTTTGTTTTCGGCACCTTCTTGAAGCTCTGTTAAAAAACTGTTCATATAAAAATTGATAATCTTGTTTCTTACATACTTTAGGTGACAAATCTCAAAGAAAACCTCCATCAAAAATATTGTCGACCAATAAAATGCGGATTTCGTGTCACATTTCCATGGACCCAAGGAATTTATCGGCAATTTTTTGTTGTAAAAAGGTAATAATGTTTTGACATAAAACGTTACTTTTTCGTTGAGGGTCACTTATGGTGTGAAATTTTCTTACCAAATACCACACGTGCTTGAATAGACATTTTTTCTTGCTCACGAAGATTTTACCAAAAGTTCAAATATTTGTGAGCCCGAAAAGTTTCCGGAAATAAAAAGTACTAGTAAGTACCTATTACAAGTGATAATTTTTTATTTCATCATGTCGTTAGTAACAAATTTTCAAAATCCTCGTGTGAGAACGAAGGGACTTCCGCGCATTTTTGTGTAGCAGATCAGTATTCTATTAGCCACTCAACCATCTATTCTATTCTATTCTATTCTATCAGGGGAGCCTTTACAGGCAGCACTTAGGCTCATCAAAGGCCCATTGTGCTAACCCCCTCTCTAAACAACCAAAGCTTAGAGCCCGTTCCCTTCAATGAAGGATAAGACCCTGTTTAGCCTTAGTTTCCTCACCTCCCTCGGTTCCAAGTAACTGTCACCGAGGAGTTTATGTCTGTCCCTGATCAGAGCGTCACAGTAACAGACTACATGCTCGGTAGTTTCCTCTACCTCACCACAAAACCTGCACGCAGGGTCTTCCACAAGCCCAATATTGTGCAGGTGATAGTTGACCATCCAGTGTCCCGTGAAGACACCGACGATCTTCCTAATCTGACTTCTGTTTAGGTTTAGAAGCTTAGAAGACTCAGATTTGCCAAGAGGCCCTGTTAAAAAGGTCTTGGACTGTCTGAGTCCAGCTGCCTGTTGCCATTGAGCCTGGAA